GAAATGAAAGGATTCCAATTTGATGCCAGGCACAAGGCTTTGGCAGTAGCTTGCTGGCTATAAAGCTGTTGTGACCAACATGTGCTGTAACGTCATTCAGAAAACATTCAAGAATGGTCAGAATGGACAGGGGGCATGTTGTTCAACAAACAAAAACAATGCAACTGACTAGGAGGCATCTTAAAGAACAGTACATCTGAACTGCTGCATCTGGAAGCCGACAGTAAGTCAGAGCTCCCATATGAATGTTCATTTCCAAATAAGATTATGCATCATGATACTCTATAAATACAAACGCAATCTAAGTCTGGCACGTAACAGTTTAACAGATGATCCAGTGGCACACAGTGAGGGTGATGATTCTAATCACTAATGTGCCCTCAACTCACAAGTGCAGAGGTGATGTGAAATGCTTTTGGCTGTTATTAATTATGAACTGATATTTCTAAACTTATTTTTTCAAACTCAAGGGGTCTGTTTTTTGATTTTGCCGGAACTGCCGCTAATGGGATTGACCTTGTCTGCTTTTGGCAGCTGTTTGCACTGCGAAGGCTGGTTCACACATTCCAGGGTCAAGCTCAAGAGTCCATTTGCTACATTCTTCTGGCTAAATGAGAACCAAGAGGAGACTGTGAAAGAAACACAATCTGCACCCTTTGAAATAAAGATTCCTAAATGGTTCTTGTCCTTGTAAAAACCTTTAATTGCTACAAAACTTCAAAAAGGTTCATTGCATTCATTCATCTACACTCAAAAGAATCTGGTTCTTTATAAGAGCTGTCTTTTGAAAGGTTCTTCAGGTAGCCAAAAGTGGCATCTGTGGCATTGCTCCAGATGACCTTTTATGGCACCTTCATTTTTAGAATGTAGATGAAATATCCTTTCTTCAGTCAGGGGTAGACAGGCATAGAAATTTACACTTGGGCCACCAAGCCAATGAACCTTCTGGCCAAAAGTATGAATGTGTGGCTAGAATTATGGAAATATGGGCAACACTTTATTTGGAGTGGTCCTTTACAATTGATTCATAAACCCTTAAGATATTGTCAGTAACACATCAACAACATATCAGTAAAGTAGCAGCAGTGAAGCATCTGAATATTGAAGTAAATATCTTAAAGATGTTCTATCGATACGTTACTTAAATTAAATAGATATATTGTTACTATGTTGCTTCCATTACACAAAATCTAACCTTACCCAGCCTTACACAGGACCTAATTCTAAACCTGGCCCTAATCCTAACCCTAACCGTGGCCCTAATCCTATCCATAACCTCAACTCCAACCCAAAACCTAATCCTACCCCTCATATGTTTTTGACACATTACTGAGAGCCTGTTGAGTGTTTGTTTCATCCAAAAGAACCACTCAAAGTAACCGAAATATGTTTAGCATAGAAAAATAGTGTTTACAGTTAACAAACATGCTTCATTACCTAAAACCAGTGTTACTGTGAATAAGGAAGTTTTCAAAACATTACAGCAAAAATATACTCTGCAAGATTTTTTGTTAAAATTGAACAATGTAACATTACTCAGTCAGGAGAAAATAAAAACAGGCTAACATGATATCCATGTGAAGCTGTGAATCACCCTGTAAAGCCTGAAGTAGTCATTAAAAAAGTCAGAGGTGTCGGGTTGGATTTCAGGGGAGTTTTTTGGACCATGTCATATTCTGTTACATATTAGGTCAAAAGGAAAGTCTGGCTCGATGTTTAGGTCTGTAATGCAAAATCAACATTATGCTTATGAAGATATGATGACAATATTAGATAACTCGCTTACATCCTCAGGAAACACATCCTTTATGAAGTTAAGACCGAGTTCTTTTTCAAATACTTCACATTCATTATTATCAGATTCATCTGCTTGGGGCAGGGGTCTCAAGCACAACCGATGTTACAAAATTTTGTTCCACATGTTGCATGCAATTACATATTTCCACCAAAGAGGTCTCCAAATCCCCAAAACCTATATAGTGCAGCTTTAATAAGAAAACTGCCATGACATTACTTTTTGCAAATTCCAGCAAAATCTGATTTGATGCAGTTAGTTCTGTTCCAACCAAACAGGCTCTGAATCTCAATCAGGAGGGTGTAAAATAGTGTTTTTGTTATTAATGGTGGATATTTGTGAATGTGTGAAATTTCAGCTGTTCTAATGGTGTTTTAAAGGAAAAAAAACACACAAAAATAGAAGACCAGAGACTTGGATTGGCCACAGACTCTGGATTTTTTCAGTGGCCAAAATATCAATTCCTGCTTCCAACATTCATGAATTCTGTTTTTTTCTTGTGACCAGTCACCAAAAAGTAGCCTGTAAGGCCTCACACAGACATACGTGAGTTACTCTGAGGACGTGTACAGCAAAGGAGCCATGCGGACATGCTTTGGTTACAGATCAGGTTATATTAAGCCTTTGGCACCTCCAGGGCGATTCCGTCCAAATTCCAATGGCTCTTTTGCCCAGCTGGAAGTACGATCAGTGGAGTTGCCCTTAGAGGGAGTAGGGTTTGGAGTTTGTGGGGGTGGCCTCTATGGTATTTTCTGGGCATCATGTGATCTGAGAGGGAGGGGGAACGGACAACTGAGATGTCTCTATTTACAGCTGCTGTCGAAGTGCTTCATTTTTCTTCCCTGGATATTGCAGTGGGAGCCACCAACAGCTTTTCATCCGGGCACAATCAGTTTTCTCATACGTCTTCTCATTACCTTCACCACTAGTCGTCGGCCTCCCCTGTCTCCACAGCTGATATTCAATTTCTCCTCTGCTCCTCTGCCTATTTGCAATCATTTCTCCATCTCTCTGTCTCCAGCCATAATGTTAAACCCAAATCTGTGCTTCTGGATTTCCTCTGGCCTCCTAAATGCCCCACTTGTTGCCTCCAAATCCCCAGAACATTTAAGTGGATTTCTGCCAATGTGGCCCTCCTCCTGCTGACTTGAACCTAAGGGTTGGTTGACGCGTTGGTGTTGCGTCTAATTAATGCTACTAGACCCTGTGCTAATATGGGACTGATTAGATTCTAAAAGATGGAAGATCACAGGGACATGTCTGGGGTGCAAGCCAGGGTAGTAGGACTGCGATGAAAGGGGAGACTCTGTTTCTCTGGCGTTCCTACAGACCCCACTGCTGGTTCAGCCAAACCCCTGTCCTGCACTGCTAAAGTGGGCCATGTTCACATGCCAGTGAAAGATCATACAAGTGTTTACAAAAGGGATGTGGATGTTTACTGGTTTAAGAAAAAGGAAATATTTTTGTCAGCACCTGTTGTTGCCTAAAAGGTATTTTTAGGCCCATATATTGTACATTGTGTATTCTACGTTATGCAATTTTCAGTGCTCTTTACAAAAATGCCCTACTGACTTGTGTGTCTTGCTACGGTGATGTACAGTCACTACTGTAATGCTGTTCTCTTACAGCTTGCAAGGGCATTTGATTTGATATGGCTTCAAATAACAAGCCTTTCATTACAGAAAAACCTTCAGTTTGATGAACAGAATGAATCACTGCATGCAGTCAATTCAATGTTTAAAGGAAAGAGGAAAAACAATTTGAACTGTTTGCTAGTTTGTAGTTTGAATAGCAACTATAGCAATAACTAATCTGGCTGAAGTTTAAAAAAATTACTTATTACATTTCTTTAAAATTTACCAAAACATCTGCTGGATTAGTTATTGTGCTAGGTAGCGTATGTGCTACATAAACTACACACCAACCAACCAGTTCACATTGTTTCACCTCTTTTCTTTCAACACTGTACACTGTACAAATCTTTAGCACCAAAGTAAAATGTTGCATTTAAATAAACTCACTGGACAAAAAAATTAGTCACTTGTGACAGAAACATACCTAATAGCATGTAATATGATGGACTGGACAAGTTTCTGGATGTAGGCAACATCAATGTTCAGCCACTCTTGCACCAAAGAATTGCACAGTTCGGCCAGATTTCATGGATGCCTTCCCAGGCATCTTACTCGTTGTTTCAGGTAGTCCCACAGATTTTCAAGAGGATTCAAATCTGGGGATTTTGTGGGCCATTCCAGGTGTGTGAATGCTTCTGAGTGTTCATTGTGCAAGTCAGTCACATTTGCAGCCCTGTGAACGCGAGAATTGTCGTCTTGGAATGCAGGGATAGGAATGTTATGTTGCTCAATGTAGGCACTGTGGTTCAAATTTACTGTCAACTCAACCAAAGGACCCATTTCCACATAATTAAAAATGATGATTTTTGCCACTGCTTGTAGACCTGTATGACCATATGCTTCAATACACCTGCAAATTCAGCTACTTTCTTCACACTATGGCCTTTGGCTCACCCAAATGCAATCACTCCTTTTTGCCAAATATAAACATCTGCAATGCGACCCATTTTCCACACATTGAATGAGACATTCACTGCTTTGTACCACCTCTTCTCAATCAATGAATCCCATTGTATCTGCAGGAGCCTGAAGTTACTAACATCTTAAACACGCAAGGTGACTAATTTTTTGTCCAGGGAGCTTAGTTCAAATGCTAATGCTTGTTAAAACATAAAAGGAGTTTTGAAGACATCTGACTGTTCTTATTCTTATTGGTTGGTCAATGTTTAATGCCTTTGTTCAAAAAAATCCAATATCCTGGAACAAAGTACAAAACAGAGATCAGAGAATCAGTTCAGTGTATTTTCTAGCAAATGAACTTTCTTTGTGCCAGTATGTAGAATATAATGTCTTTAAATAACATCTTGCCAAATGTTACCCAATGTTTTTGGTCATTTTAAATATTGTTTAAATTATGTCTTCATGTTTGTAAAAGTAAATTTGGATGTGCGTCCACCAGTTTATCTTTCATAATTTGCATATTCAGATAGTATATACAAGTGTTCTGTATAATGTTATTCACCTCACAGAAACAAAACTGAGAACTCCTTTGTGATGTCCTGCATGTTGGGACTGTTTGTCTTGATCACTGTTGTGAACACTAATAAGGACGACACTCTATTATCTTGCAGGACCTATCGACATATGCTACAACTTACTGTGGAAATATCTTCAAAGATGAAGTCACGTAGACGGGGTGGCTGAGGCTGTATCAGAGGATGAAAAAGAGAGGTGTCAAGTCTTATCTGCTTATGGCTATAATTGGTAATGTCCATTCTCTGTCAGCTGTCATACTGTGGGTTAATGGCCTGAAGCTTCACACTCAGTTTCATGGCTCTAGCTGTGAGAACAGCTTTGAAATACAGGGACTTCAAAAGGCATTCTCATCTTCCTTCAGATTAGATTTGATACTGCTGTATTGCAAACAAACATTTTCAAATATGCATCGTTAGTATTCTCTTTTAACAGCAAATGTCTTGGGTGTAGATAAGGTGGTGTGTCTGCAGAACACAAGATCACCATCTTCTTTTTTTAATGAAAATCTGAACATTAGGAAGTGGAATTTTAACACAGTAATAAACTGATCACAATAAGTGTTATACTGCAGTTTATGGGGGAAAGTCAACACTTCAGGCTTGTTATGCACTTTTTATGTCTAAGAGATGGGCAGAAAGAAAATCATCACATAATATGAAGATTATCTATAATTGCAGACTACAAGATGATAAGCAGTTTTTGTGCACTTGGAGTGCAGCAGCCTCAACTTGGCTATGTGACCTTCAGGCACATGCACAGATAGACCCCGGGGAGGCTTGAACCCCTGCCCCTTTACTCCCAGATCTTATATGTGCCCCTGTGGTTTATGTGTTTATTTTGCCTCCATTCTTTAAGATTCTAGTGAGATGAGGCCTAGTCTTTCTCCAGGAAAAGAGCTCGTGTGTCGGCTTGAGTTCTCTTCGGCGCCTCTGCTGTTGCCTGAGGTTCTCCTTAGTAACTCTGACCTGTCACACATCACCATAGCAATTGAAATCCCACCAATAAATTGCTGATAATCAGACAGTGTCACACTCCATAATGTGTTTCTTTTAAACAGTCGACAAACTCTTTGCCTTTATTACAGCTTTCAATCTTTTCAGGAGATTTGCTTTCAGTTTTACAAGAAATCTGCAGGGATATTTTTCCACACTTTCAAAGTTCAGCCTGCTTCTCATGATACAAGTAATCTTGATTTTCTCCTCTCTTTCAAAGATGAAAGCTTTCAGTCCCGTTTATCTGATGGGGACAGTTTAGGTGGTCTACCAGGTCTTGCACAGATTTGTTAGGAGTCCCATTTTATCTTGTTTTTAACTCCAGTTTTGGAAACTCCTGTTTTTTCACTAATTTTTCTTTAACTTTCCTCTTCCTTATGCAAGTGGACTGTCTTAAATCTAATCTCCTCAGAAATATCTTCTTTAGCCATTTCAGATGCACATAAGGAAGAAAACTGCAAGGCAGGTGGTGTGTTTTGGTAACTGCTTGTGTGAATGTTAGTATCTTTGAAGGGGAAAATAATGTTAGTGACACCTTTGGGAGTTATAGTGACAGGAGGGTGCACAGAAGTAAAGAGCTGACATTTGATATTTGTTATACCTAGTGTGGGAGGATTTTGTGTATTTTCCTGTTAAATATATGTTTCTTGCTTTTTTCACATTGAAAACTTACATAAAGGGCATTTGTCATTTTTAAAGATGCTACTATGTTATTGTAACTAGAACCTGTTCAGCATCCACAGAAGGGCCTTCAGAAGGAGGACTACATAAATCAAGGTAGACATATTGTTATATACCATTGTTATATATTGTTCCAAGAAGGTCTCTTGTTGTTACTTCAGTCATTGGGCTGAGCGCTCTTCTTCTTTCTTCATCACAATAGAGGCCTAACAATGAAATTACACTCAAGCAAAGCATTATATTATTTGAAATGATGCTGTGCTGAATTGCAGTCTTTTGATTGTTACAGATGCATGTAAATGTAAAAGGAGACCAATGCAAGATTTTTCTTAGAACAATATAAGCCAGAGCCATTTAGAATGCTTTATTGTTTAGAGTATAAGGTAGGAAAGTATGAGCATGTCAGATGTTTTTGCTCAAGATTACAGTCCTTTATTAGCCAAACAAAAGTAACATGTCTTATGTTTACTGAATATCTGTACTGCACAGGCCAGAGGTCCAAAAACCTGGAGTTGTTACCTCAGTTTGGTTACCTACCATCTTAAAAATAAACTCTTGGGTAGCTTTTAAGTGGTATAAAACATTTGCATTATGTGGAGGCCCTTCAAAATAATAAGAAAGGTTTTTAGACTCACATTACTGAAAGATTGTTTATGACCAAAAACTGTTGTTTTTCTATGACATCACTCCAAAGAACCATTTCTAGCACCCTTATTTTAAAAGCATGATTTTAGAAAGATGTTACAAGACGTTCAAGGTGCCCAGACCACATGAAGTGCCCTTGCAGCTTCCATACATTTTCTCTGAAGATGAATCTCTTGAGCCTCATACTTTAGCCAAAAGATTCTAGAAAACTTCAGCATGTGATAGTGACCACAGGGAAGCTGAGGGTAGTTCTCATATCTACATCAAGATGTCACTGTGCTATGACACTAGAGTTGGGCACACAGTGAAACTAGCCATGCACCCTGGGAAGCTGTGCTAAAACAGGCAGCACACCAGGTGGGTTGGGGTAAAATCTGTGCTGTTTTCAAGAAATAGTGGTCTCATGAACATTTATTGGCAACAGTATTAGATCGAAGGGTCAAAAAGTTTGGGAACCCCTGGCGTAGGCTATGCCAACTATGTAACTTCTGCAAACTGTACAGTGTGGGTGTGAGGAGATAACTGCAGGGGTGTATAACTCATTATTTACAGGGAACAGTTTCATGAAAAATCATCACTCAAAGGAGCACCAAGCATTCAGCTTCCACCTTCTCTGCTCTGATTCTTATACTGTGGTAAGTATATTCAGTGAAAGAGCTATGTCCTACATTTTTCTTGTGTTTTCATATTTTTTTCCCCCAATGTCAACTTTGTGGATGGGTTTGTGTATCAAAAACAGTCAAAATGAAGTTTTATATTGACACTTTTCAAGCTTTATCCCTTACAATTAAACAAGTGTGTGAACAGTACACAATGCGCAGTCATATTTTCTTTTTTGTTTTTCCCAATGTGTTAAATTCACTATGTATGACTATGCATTAAAAGACATATAAAATATTCATATGACTTCTGTTCTGATTGGTGACTCATTCAGTCAAGTGGGGTGACCACAGTGGCCCCCCTGCCAAGCTGGTCCACCCTGTCTGTCATCCGATCTAAGTTGTCATTAGAAACTGTATTTAACTGGTGCAATGAGCCTCTCAGTGTAACACTAGCTTTTCTAACACTGTATTTTATTTAAAGCTTTGTCTCAGAGTGATGGTAGCAAACCAGTGCTCAGCTGTTTGTGTTTAGCTAACAAGCTCCCATGTGAGCCTCTCACTGTAATGCTGGGGCTGCAATTATGTGTAATATGTAAGAATCAAGGACAGAAGCTGTCTGTTTTGCTAACTTCTATGCTAACTGTACCTTAGCCTGGGGTGGTCACAATCTTTGCATAAAACTGCTAGCTAGCTACCTGCTGCTAATGTACTTGTGCCTTGTCCCCCTCATTAACCTGATTCATTCCTGATATTACTATGGCATGTCCATGATTACTGTATGGTGGGTTTGCTGAGAAGCTGTGCCTTGCCCAAGTGTTCCACTGGTAGTTTTATAGCAAGCTAATGCTATTGTAACTTTTTATAAATAGCAGCCTTTTGTTGGCCAAAACACTTTATTAGTTATGTTTCTCAATCATTTTCATCTGTGAGATTTGTCTAAATGTCTAAATGTAATCTAAGTAATCATGTAGGTCATTTCAGCCAGTGGAGCAGTACCCATGATGACATGCAGACCACCTCAGCGGGAGAAGTCACCACACCGGGCTGAAATAATACAACTTAACAGGTTAATGCGTGGGCTAACCTGGTGTAGACTTGAATAGGCAGCTTAGTTTCCATGTATGAACTGTATGGATTCTTCATCAAATCATGTGTAATGGTCTGGATGTTGTTTACCTGATGCTCACTTTTGTTGCCTAGGTGTTGTCTTGTTATATTTAGAGATGAATCAGCCCACATAAAAGCATTGACTTACATAAAGCTCACTAGCCTAAATAAAAAAAAAAACAGTTTTAAAATGAAGAGACATAAAAACTAGGCACTAAGTAAGAAAACAATAAATGTTATGCAACAGTTGTTGTCCTGTGCCTCTGTAAAAAGCATCAATGCAGTGTTAGCTGTCTTCCTTATCCTCTAATTATGACTGTTCTAGACGTAGCAGGCAATAGGTGATTTTCTCATCAAAGCTGCACATTCTGGAACTGCAGCAACTTGTTAACACGTCTACACAGTTGTTTGAGAAGAATGAAATGCTGTCAATCAATCACTATGAGCTGGATCGGCGCCAGCTCCCATGTGGGGACCACTGATGTGGTTCAAGAGTGTTTACAGTCTAGTGAAGATGTAAACAGGCCTGCTGACAATGAGTTGTGTAACCCAGAGAAACATTCATAACTAATAAACAATGGCACTCTGTTATGTGTTTTTATGTATTTGTTTTTCTCATGTATTGTTCATTGTAATTATGCTAATGCGCATTTTGGCTAGAGATATAAAAATGCATCTGTGCCTCGTGTTTGATGGAAAGGTTATGATATAATTGCATCTATGTTAAAATATTACAATAAGTTAAAAAGCATGTGCTCATTTTGGCCAAAATAAAATTCTCATATGTAAAGATTATGTGATGCTTTCTTTTATAGTCACTTACGTTCTGGGTATGAACCAGGTCAGTATATGGCATTATACACAAATAAAGTACAAAGGGTCTTACATCATTTGTACCTGTTTATTACCTAGAACTGAACCTGAGTCAGGACTGTAAAGGAAAGCAATGACTCTGACTGTGGTTTTACTGATCTTTGTGCTTTGTGCTGTCATTTTATGCCATATAATTCATCCGATACTTAGAGGTGTTTCTGAATTACTTTCCTGCTTAAACATTTGACATTACATTTAATGTGATAATGTTTGAACTTCGCCTCCAGATCATGATTAGATATTTTACTCTGTCCTTTATCAGCTTAATAGCTAAAACCTGTCATTTCTTTGTAATTTAGTCAGACTTGCACAGCTCTTTGGAGACTGTACCACACAATTTTTTAGTTAACATCTAGAACCTGTTGGGCACTTCAGTGTAATTTAGTTAAACTGTCTTGGAATTTACTGTCATGTTATTCAAAATAATTATCTAGGATTTTGGAGTTTGTACCTCACACTTATTTGGTTAATGCATAGAACTTAGGGGACTGTAAAAAGAAAGTGCTACCAACATTGCAAAAGTCCAATAAAAGTCTGAAGTTGCTTTTATTGGCCAAAATGGATCCTGACTCCTTCATTAGTGTTGTGCTATTCAGTGGAGAACTATTTAGTACTGAATAGCAGTAAAAATGCTTAAACCAATAAATGAATTGAGACACTTTATCATCATCAGCCTGTGTCAGTATCCTCCAGTCACCTGAACAAACCACCATTATTTGCAGCTCATTCACAGCTGTAGACATGGGTGTAACATTTTTGAAAGTTTGAGATCCAATGTGCAAATGGAGCCAAAACTACCCAATCAGCAGTGCCTGGTTCTCAGGTGACCTCACAACAGCTGTGGTTTGGCCGTAGCCCACTATATTTATCGCTGCACAAGATGCTATGCTACCCAGTGACTTTGACTTCTAGACATACTGGTATGCAACATGCGTACTATTGGCTAACATATGACACTGCTATTGGAAAAATGTGAGAGTTTATAAGATAATGCTTGTAACATGCAAACCTCCTTATTAGTTTTTTATTTGAACCACTCCTAATGTTGCTAGCTAAATCAGCATACTTTAGTCCAGCTCCAGCAGCGGCTCTGTTTAGGCTACAGGCTGCACAGTTGTCTATATTAGCAATGTGCACTATTAGTTAATTCACATGAGAAATTAATGGTACTTCAAAGTTGTTATATTGGTTTCCCTGTCATAACATATTACCATGAGTGTGAGAAAGTTTATTGTTAACTAGCATATTGATGGCATAATATCATGTACATAATTAAGAAATCAACAGGTACATTAGGCTGTGTATCTAATTAACTGTTTGTGTAGCCTAATTAGCCTGTCAGCTGGAGTTTGCTAGAGAAAGCCTTTAATAATGTATT